ATTTTTATTTCTATGTGTTCTGTTTTTTCACACATTTTTTTCTGAACTATTATATTTTGATCTTATTTTACAATTTTGACACTACAAAATTTTCATTTTTTTATAAGCAATTGTGATATTAATATTATCTTGAAACTTTTTTGTTTAAAATTATAATAACTTCTGTTTTAAATTTTTTTTAGCTTTTTGTTAATTTTGACATCATTATGTAGTAATTAGTTATAACGCTCGCTGTCATTATCAGCAGAAAAAAGTGTTTGCTATGATTTTTGCTAGTATTTCTTTCAATACATTTAGTGAAACTTACACTTTTATATTTAATTGTTAGAAAAATATCATAAATTCCAACAAAACTTTCAGTTTCAAAAATCCTATTTTTTGTGATAAAATCATTTATATGCAAAATATGTCACTTTTTAAAGTGAAATCACATGACTTATAATTTAAGACTAAAAAGAAAGTTGTTAAATTAAAACATCAATCTTTATTTTAAGAGGGAGTATTCGGGAGGTTGGTGCGCAAAACGTGCAGAGAGTGAAGTTTCACTAGTATATATACACATAAACGTTTGATTATGTTTATAAAAAGTGACTTAACGTGCTTTTAAGATATCTACTGATTATATTGGAAAGTTATGAGAACTGCCTGCATAATGACGATTTTGTCTCCATAATAATCCTTATGGTGATATTAATTATTTTGATTGAAATCCTAAATAGTATTCGCGAGGGCTTATCTCTGCATAAGCTTCATTAAAAAATTAGAAAAATTGTTTTGTTAGTACAGAATTCAAGTATAGCAGATGGCTTATACAATAGTACAAGATAAGAAATTATGAAATCACTTCAATACAATATTAGAGCAAAAATTATATTAAAGACGATATAAAAAAATTGGTATTCAAGTTTTTATACCAAAAATAAATTTTAATACAGAAAGTTCATTGTACGTTGCGCATAGTATAGGTTAAAAACGCAAAGTAAAACTTTATTAAAATATTTGACATCTTACTAATATGTAAAGCAAAGTTGTTAAAACCGTTGTAATCGCTAACTGCGAAAACTACTGAACCAATTTTGCTGAAATTTTGCATACTTGATGATTCCGAGATGGTTTTCGCATAGTTTTTTTCTTGAAAAAGTTAATAACAATAGTGATAAAGAAGCTCAAAGTTTCGCTAAAATAAGATAGCTTTGCACTTAAGTTCAGTAGGATCCGCTAGGTGGCATCAAGATAAAATTGAAACCACCCGCAATCAAAGATAGTGAAGAGTGGTTATAACATGCCCCATCGAAGTGTCCATTATCGTAGTCGCTGATCGGCAGTACACCAAGAACAAAGTTGTTAGTCGTGCAGCTGGACATTCCGGCTACTGATGACACTCTTTTTTCATGGGCCAGCGAAATAAATCGGTTTTCATCCCGGATTGCCAAGATAATCGAGTGCCACAGAGAAATAGGCGTTCGGAACGTCAACGTCTCCAGAGGAATACCAGGAGATGTGTCTAGCCAAAGCATAACGTGCTCCAACACTTAAGTTTTGTGGCTGCTTAATCATCCGGCCTGGTGCCATCAGAGTGCGGTCTCCGTACACAGAGACTCCAAGGATAAGAGTCAAGCTACCCGCAGCTGGCTCTTCATCATCAAGAATAATATTGAAAAATAACTGGAAATTTCACTGCTGGCCTTTTTTAGGGCCATTATAAGTATTAACGTTCCCTACTTAACCATCAATCTCATCGGTTCTTTTAAGGGCCACCTAAGTTTAAACTACGTTGCCAACAAATACATTTTCACTACTATTTCTGAAAACAATTTCTCTACTTAGAGACTATGTAAAGCCGGCCAAGTCAGTCATTCACTGGCAGATGTCACGAGTAGAGTTGTTTGTCGCAATGCTGGGAACTCCGGTGACCGACGACCCTATATTACCCTCTCGACTCTGAGCATTCAACCAGGAATCACCGATCCTCTCCAAGGTCTGCGCTGGAAGAGCCTAACAGCTATAAAAGAAAAATAAATTTGAGCCAATGGGCAAGCTTCACGAACCAATCTCTCTACCTTAGATCACCAAAACAACTGAGTCTTCAAAAAAAGGAGGTGCTTGAGACACCAACGTCTTCGATGTTATACCAGGAGACGTTGGAAAAGAGCTCTACAACTAGCTCTAAAGCTTGAAACGTTGCAGTTTACCTCCCTATCTGTGTGGTGCTACAATAACAGGCCAAAGAAGATCACCCTGAGATATAGAAGCAATTACGTTTGCTGGAAACTTCAGTCAAGAAAGAGTTTACTTTAGAAGCTTGCCGGTCCTTTTCAGGGTCACCGGACGTCGAACTACAAATTGCCAACAAATATATTACAACCTAATAAACTTGAAAAAAAATAGCCTTTAGAACTTACAAGAGTCTTAACTATGCCAAAATTTGCAAGAAGTTGAATTGGAACAAAAACTTCAAATACATCTAATAAATATAATTTTAGGTGTCAAGAAAATGAGACTGAACGTATATCTAGATTGAGGCAGCATTAAAATCGATAAATAAAGCATTTATTAATAAGAGATAAGCTTTTCACTATATTTCTTATAGTTATCTCTTAAATCTTTCAGATTTTTAAATAGGTACAATATGTATTTGTATTTTCGTGGCGATAAAAAATGTAGAGATTAAGCTTTAGGACCTTTTTGCTGTGGTAATAAAGTTGTGAGATAAGACTTTTAGGGCTAATGATTTTTTTATGGCATAAGAAATGCACGGTACTTTTTAGCATAGTTTATTTTTTTTATTTTTTACAGCTTTTTACTTGACGAAATAAACTATATGGATTCCGAACAACATGTTTTTCAGAAGAAGATTTTTGTTTTGAGAAGGGTCAGAAATAGATTTAAAATTTTTAACTAAAAATGTTACACATGATTGCTGATCAACTCTACTATGATGGATGTGTCTCTCCGTTCTGATTTTTCTTCAATTTTAAAGCTTGGTCGTAGATTGTGAGAGCTGTTAACTCGCTCTCACGCACTGGCGTCCAAGCTAGCAGGATGATTCTGTGAAGCCGTCACTGTTCGCTTTTCGTTTGAGAAAAAAAAGTCTTGCTTTTTATCAGAAAGTTTCATTCAACCATTTTGGAGACATTTGGCGGTGCCAATTTAGTTGTATTGACGCAACATGCGTCATCAAATCAACAAGTCATCCAATTGAAAGAACTATAAAAATGAATTGGGAAAGAAACACTTAAGAGAATGAAAAGGAAAAGAAATATGAGAACATTAGACGCAAAGTAGTCTAGCTTGAATGACAGAAGTACAGCTACGATACCCACGGCCCCCAAGCTATTTAAAGGGTAGAAAGAAAATGTAAACGCTACTTGCTAACCAAAGTACTACTACAAATCATGATTTTAGTTTCCCCTCGCTTATGACTGTCTTATTTTTTTACCAAGTTTCTCAAAATTATTGAACATACATTGTGATGCTTCGCTCTTATCTACTGTTAATACTATATCGTCCAAAGAGGTGGTGAAGAGAGTCGAAAAAAAAGAAAGAAAAAAGTGGATAAAAGTATCATCATGTAAGTACCTGAAAGAAGCTCTTCGTGAAGAAATTAAAAATGATATAAGAAATAAAAGTGACACGATTCGATTTACAAAAAGGAAGCAGACAAAATAAGAAGAACATGGCATAACGAGAAAAAAGTTAATTTAATTAATACATGCAATTTATTTAGTCAAATGCTATAAAAAGTTGAAAAAAATAGAATGATACTAAAAAGTACCGTAAATTCCTTACGCCATAAAATAATTTTTGGCCATCAAAAGCCGTTGATTTGCAGTTTCTCACATTATAATAAATGAAAAGACTCTTTGTTTAAACTGTAAGGATTTCAAGCTGACAAAAACTATATAATTTAAAAATATTTTTTAATCTCACATTTACTGCAGGAGCAACTAAGTCTTGAACTTAATCTCTCCATTTTTTTCGCTTCAATGAATACAAAAACCTATCATACTACCTACTTAAAAATCTAGAAGATTGAAGTGATAATATAACTATTATCAGGGTAATAATGAAAAACTGATCTCTCATGTAACGGTTTCTTTATGTATCTATTTTGACGCTTCTGTTCAACCTCGATAAATGTTCTTCGTCAGTTTCTGGACGCTTTAAATTTCATACAGTTGGAGCATTTAAAGTTTTCTTTTAAATTCGCCCTCTTGCGACTATGGGCATTGTTAAAATTTTTGTGAGCCTTGAAAACTGTTTTTTGTCGACTTTGTTGAGTTTTAATATATTTGTTGGCTATGTAGTTCGACGTTTGATAGCTCTAAGAAGAACCGGTGAGCCAAACTCTGTCTTGACTGAAGTTTCCACAAACATGGCTGCCTGGATACCTTAGGGTGATCTTCTCTGACTTGGTGTTGTAGCACCAGATTGACCAAGAGGAAAACTACGTCTGCAGCGTTGGAGCTAGTTCAAAAGCTCTTTCCCAATGTCTCCTGATATTATGCTGAAGACGTTAGTGCCGAAAGCACCTTTTTTTGCAGAGCTCAGTCGTTTTGGTGATCTAAGATGGAGAGATTGCTTCGTGATGTTTGCTTGTTAGAGACTGTACCGTTTATTCAAGTTTATTTTTCCTTTATAGCTTCACTGTTAGGTTTGCCCAGTGCAAACCTCAGAATCCGATCCCCGGTTGAATGCTTCGAGTTGGGAGGGTAATGTGGGGTTGTAAGTGGCTGGTATTCCGAGCCTTATGACGAACAACTCCGCTCGTGTCGTCTGCCAGTGAATGACTGACTAGATTTAATAGTGGCCAGCTTTATAAAATCTTCCGTTGTAATTGGATAACTTATTTTTAACTTTTAATACAACATTAATATTCTTAGTCTCGATAAAAGAGTGAGTGTAAATACGAAAATGACTCTTAAGATTACCATAAAAATTATGTTTCTCCATCTAATTTTTTTTCTGCTTTTTATAAATTTTTATTTAAATTTTTCCAGCTGGTACGCCATATTATGGAGGATCATTCAAAATAAAAGTATCGCTAAGTAAAGATTATCCTCAAAGTCCACCAAAAGCCTTTTTCCTTACAAAAATTTTTCATCCGAATGTTGCTAAAACTGGAGAAATATGTGTGAACACGTTGAAAAAAGATTGGAAATCCGATCTAGGAATAAATCACATTTTACTCGTAAGTAATACATTGTATATTAATATTCACCATATGTAATTTTTTCGCATAATGCTAAAGGATGCCATAGGAGATAATGTGATTTTTTGTAGGAGTTTTTAAACAGGCTAAAATTTTATTTCAGTATAATTTTTTTTGTATCACTGTTCAATATGAAAAAATAAGTTGATTTGTTATAAAAATTTTCATAGTAAAGTACAGAATCATGTTGTTTGAATAAAGATTTTCGAATGTGTTATTTTTGATTACATTAACAAAAAAATGTATATTGGATAGTTAAACTGTTATGATTGAATTATAACTAAAAATAAGATGTTAAATGACAATATTTCAAATAAAGAAATTTTACTTGTAATTAGTTAGATAAATGCTTAAGTACCACCATCAGTGTTATTTTGGCAAAGTATTTTTTTTTTAAATTTAAATAGGATAGAGCTTTGAACTTCAGACTCCCACTTACAAGATAACATTTTCAGGTAAATAGTACGAAAATGAAGCTTACACAAATAAAATTTTTTCTTTTACTAGCCACAACAAAGATAAAGCTATCCTTTACTTTCCTTTTTTTAAATTTCTCAGCATTTACTTTTTAAGGTTTGAATGTTTGTTATTTTTTGCGTTAGTTTTTACAGGTATTGCGATTTAATATTCTGTTTTATTTTACTATCAAAGCCCTACACAATATCAAACTTGAACACGAATAAAATGCAACAGAAATTAAAAAAAAATAAAATCGTTCCGCATGCGGAAAATCTTAAAAACTTAAAATTTGAAAAAGTTTTTGCTCCAAAATAGCAGAGAGGTAAAACTTAGAGTAGGTTTATTTTTTCTGTGGATACAAAAGTGAACAATGAGTACCCACAGTATCTTATAAGGTTTATTTTAGTGATAATCACCAAAGATTATTTTATTGTCTGGTCTGCAGTTCCCAGCCTAATACTATTTTTTCTGTAATATCTCATTGATAAAGCCAGTTCCCTTTAATATACCCTAAATTTCAACTGAACTCTGAACTGAAAAAAAAATTGTTGATTTTTTTTGGAAAATTTCCTTTCTTACGAAAGAGATTTCTTCAAAAATCTTACAATTTGAATAAATAGTGCTTTTTACATCCTTAATTTATTAATTAAATGTCGAAAATTATTTTAAGATTATTTAATTATTTATAGTAACTTTTAACTTTTTTTTAATAGTTTCCGTAGAACTCAACTTTAAAGCCTAATATAAGTAGATAGTGAGTAAAACTGTATTTTAATGGTGCTTAAGTTGAGATTTAATGAGTGCAGTTAGAGACCGATAATGTGAAAAATTCCTTATTTTTTTTTTAGAATTTGACGTTTTTCTGCTTGCTTCGAGTTTTATAGTAAAGCAAATCATAAAAATTTAAATAAAATATTAAACTTATTTGGTATAGTGCATAAAAGGGTTGTTTAAAAATTTTTTATAAATCGTACTTTGACTGCTAGATCTATTTTTTTTGTAATTCATATCGTTTTTATTTAAGTAGCATTAAAAATCAAATTCTTCCAAATAATTAAAGTTGGATTATTTAAAATTTGTTCATACATGCTACGTTCGCATCAATATTTCTTTCAAAAGTTTTTCCAACTAAATCGTTATTCATGTAGAATCTTATGTTGAACAAACAATGGCTACATTTTGAGATCATTACAGGAGCATAGAAAATAGTTATTGTTATGTATTGGATTCTCGAGTGTATGTTTCATCATAAAAACTTTATGGTACTTTTTCTTTTGCTGAACTAACTAACGTAAAAAATCAAAATTTTTTTGATTTTTTGAGGCTAATAATAAATACTAGATTTTTCAGCGACCTTTTGTTGACTGATGCATCGACCTTTTCAGGCTTTATTAAGAACAAATGAAATTTTTTTTATAAATTACTATAGTTGTATACAAAATATAAACAATGTTAAAAGGGCCAACATTACACTTTTTTTCAAACGTGAAGGAACAATTTAACATATGGATCAAGTAACTCGCACGCAAGTCAAACTGGCAAAGACGTCAACTTTGCAGAATACATCGAATTTATAGCCTAGTTCTCATGTTGTTATTTTCATGTTGTGTATCCTGTGTTTGAAAGACAGATAAGGGTAATGACTATATGCATGCAAGGTAGGATTACATCTAAAAAATAAGTGTACTTCTAAATTAGTTACACTGAGACATACGAAGACATAAAAAGTTATTCTTTAAAGGGTCTTCAAAAAAAGGTACATGATCAGATAAATTACTTGAATGATCATAAATTTTTAAACTATGAATTTTATAATATTCAAAGTACACAAACAAACACATAGTTTGCTAGAGCGTATGGCCTTCTAAAAATGCACAAAAAATATACACCTTTAAGGCCAATCATTTCGTTAACTAATAGTCCAACTTATTTACTTTCAAATATATTACATAAAACCTTGTACAAATATATTCTAAAATTAAAATTCCATATGAACAAAAGTCGAGATCTTATACACAAAATTTAATCTTTTGAAATACCAAATAGCTATGTGTTGGTTTTACTTTATCATTTACGAATGTGTCATGTGATTTGGTTCTAAGAAGCCCCGAATAACCAGTAGATGGTATACGTAGTGCATCAAGAACCCCATTCAATGATATCTCGAGTTTAACGAGATTTTTATTTGAAAACATGAATTGAATAACAAACGTTTGATTTCTGAAATGCTACATAATACCTTGAATGGTCATTATGTGGATTAAAAAAAAGATGTTTATAATTTAAAGCGCGTGTAATCAAAGTTTCTTTAAGTCTGTACGTTTCTAGAAAGTTATGTATATTTCTAAAATGGCTTATTCATATAGAAGATAGTTGAACTAAAAACTCTAGTAATCACAGTACGCAAGTTGTATGTGTTCATGTGTGTATCTGGCTATAAATTCGATGTACCTTGCAATGTTGACGCTTTTGCCAGTTCAACTTGCGTGAGTGTTACTCACTCGATACGTTAAGTTTTTCCTTCATGCTTTAAAAAAATGTTGGTATACAGTATTTCGGAAATAAAAGTCTAATGAAATACACACAGTATTCGTTAAAACGTTGCCAAAAAACGTAGTGTTTATTATTTGCTCCAAAAGATCAACAAATTTATAATTTTATACGTTGGCAATTACTAAGCTTACTATCAATGTTTGCGAGTCATGCCAAACAGAACACGATATAACACGCGTCTACAGAGGGCACTAAATAAATAAGACCTGCGCAGCAAAGTATGATACAAAAATTCACAATTCACGAAAGTTCCATTATTCTTATACTAACTTTATAAAGTAGCATAGCTTACTTTTATAAACTGGTACTTATGTCAATTTTCTAACACTTAATAATGAAAACTCATAAAACCAAGAGTACATACAAGAGTCTTTTATGTATATCTTCCTATGTTTTGTAGCGAATGTGGTGAGGCAGAGCAGCAGCCCCTCCATAAGCCCCACATTTTCTAAACTCACTTTCATTTACTTCTATTTCTTTAAGCCTCCCGTATATTTTAAAAAGACAATGCCATAATGTATATTTTTTTGCTTTAAAATTCCCTCCACACTCCTACATTAGAACATAACTCTTTATGACCCTCCACTAACGCTCTACACTTTTATTCTTACCTCTTCATTCTTTCCACGAAACTAAAAATAATAAGGCAAAAACATGTTGATTTCGTAGTGATTCAAGGCAAGTTTTTGACTCTCGACTTCCTTCAGTTACTTTGATTTTTTTTTAATTGTTTAGGTTAAGCCCTCCTCTGCTCTTTCACACCTCTACATAGTTATCCACTGCTCCTACAATACCACGGTGCAGTAGGATAAAGTAGTATTGATTACATAATATAATGTGTATTTTCGCTTTCACTAGATGAGTTACCGTTTTTACGGAAATACCATAACGATTCTCTGTCACACGTCTCTCCTTGACCTTTATTAGATCTATGTACATGGAGGTTCGTGACTAGGCTAAATGAATAACAAGAGTTGATTTCAATTTGAATTCGGTATTTGTTTATTCAAAATAACTTTCTAGGTCCCAAGTACAACGCTTGCAGTCTCTCGATCGCAACCATGACTCATACGTATATAAGTATATGCTTTATTTCTCCGCACGATTGCCACCTTTTTGAACCAAGCTACAGACGCACTCTCTCATGCACACTCTGCCCGCGCTTTCCTGACTTTTACCTTACCAGGTTATATCCACCTTAAGGCACGATTTATATGCTCGCGTTACTCTCTCTCTCTCTCTCTCTCTCTCTCTCTCTCTCTCTCTCTCTCTCTCTCTCTCTATCTCTATCTCTCTCCAACTGACTGTGCCAGAGTAGGTGTGCATATTTATTCAGTAAATGTTTAAGCCACACTGATCGGACATACCTTCAAAGAACTTGAACGTAACGCAAACAGGCATTCACATGTGTACGTATTTACCAAAATGTTCACACGCATGCATGTATACAAAAACATCTAATCATACTTACACACGTACATGCTTACACATACCAACATACATAAAAGCACTACTAATATAAACGTGTATGCATGCGTGCATCAACACAGATATATAAAATGGCTTTCATATGCATACGTGCTAGAACTCACACGTACACACATGCACACGTATTCACTCATACCAAAACGCACACATGCATGCACACATACAACAAAATCACACATACGTACACAGCTATTCAAACGTATATACTGTAACACACATATGCATACATAAATATGGTAACACAAATAAATTGTATGCAAACGCAAGTATGAATACACGCATACCTACACGCACAGTACCTCATGCACGTATGCAAAAACATGCATACGTACACGAATTCATTATTACTTATTTTATTGAGGGCATATAATTATAAAAATGTGTAATAAGCTGGCAGAAAAAAATAATGTATACTTGCCCTCTCATTACCAAAATTAGACCTTGGAGTGTTCAAGGCAGAAGCTCGAAGTTCTGAGTTA